ACCTGCGGCGAGTCGGCCGTCTCCGCGCGGGAGCGTCGCGCGACGCGGGCCGCGGACCACGTGAGCCGCGTGACGGACGCGTGGACTCGCCCGTCGACGACTTCCCGCGCGCGCCTGCGACGCGCTTCCGATGCGCGTCCCCGCCAGAATCGAACGCCGGCGCGCGCTCCTCGGCGAAGAGCGTCTCGGACAGCGCCCACCAGAAGCGGTCCGCGCGGCACGCGAGCGAGACGACGTTCGCGGGATGTTCGTCGTAGATGGCGCCGTTCGCGAGGTAGAGCTCTAGGAGCCGCCGCTCGCCGAGGATGAGGAGCTCCATGGGCGTCATGGCGCCCGACGACGCGCCGGCGTAGCGCGCCGGCGCCGCGCCCGCGCGCGACAGGACCGCGTCGACGCCGACGAAGTAGAGGCTGCAGAAGCCGGCGCCGGCGACGACGACGTCGAAATCCGCGGGCAGCGTGTTCTCCCGGACCAGCGCGTCGGCCTTCGTGATGAGCGCGTCCGCGGCCGCGGCGACGCTCGCGGGCACGCGGCCTGCGAGAGCCTCGCGCCAGAGCTCGTCCATATATTGGGGAGGTTTCGAGGCTGCCCAGCCTTCCCTTTCAGAGGCCGACCATCGGAGGGCACCTGAACAGGACAGGACAAGATGAAGGGCAAGAAAGCCGTGTGCCGATGGCCCAGCTCACCGAGCGAACCTCGTGAGCGCCATGGCGCCTCGCGCGCTGGCTCTGCTCGCGCTCCCGCTGCTCGTCGCGCCGCGCGCCGTCGCGCTCGCGCCGACGCCGCTCGCGCCGCTGTCGCCGCTGGAGGTGAAGCGGCTCCAGGTCTTCTCGGCCTTCGACGACGGGGAGACGCGCCTCGCCATGCGCCTCATCGAGGCCGCGGCGATGGAGGAGGCGGCGACCCCCGGCGGCCTCGCGGACTCGGCGACGGGCGCCTTCGCCGCCTCGCTCGCGCGCCTGCGGCGCCGCGCGTTCCCGGGCGCGGCCGACGGGCCCTGGCGCGACGGCGAGCTCGCGGCGTGGCCGCGGACGGCGCCGCTCGCGGCCGCGCGGCGCGCCGCCGCCGCGGAGCTCGGCGCCGTCGCGGCCGCGCGCTGGGACGCGGCCGAGTACGAGGCCATCGCGCGCGACTGGGCGTTCCTGCCGCTCTGGCAGCGCGGCGCGTTCACGGAGTGGGCCGATGCGATGCCGGCGACGCGGCGCGCGCTCGAGGGCGCCCTGGCCGCGGGGCTGCGGCTCCATCCCCTGCAGGACTTTGCGTGCGGCGTGGCGCGCATGGAGGCCGGGTCGCGCATCGCCGAGCACTGCGACGGCGGGCTGCTCTCGTTCACGTGCCACCTGGGCCTCGACGTGCCGGACGGCTGCGCGCTCACGGTCGGCGGCGAGGCGCGGCGCTGGCGCGCGGGCGAGTTCCTCGCCTTCGACCCGTCGTGGCCCCACTCCGCCGAGAACCCGACGGCGGCGGACCGCTACGTTTTGCTGTTGCAGCCGCTCCGCGACGACGTCGCGGACGCCGACGTCGCCGCGGTGGCCCACTTCCTCGACCCGGCGACGCGGCCGCCGCCGCACGCGGCGCACCCCTTCTGGCTCGTGCGGGGACCACGCGGGCTGCGGGCCCACGGCACGTGGCTCGGGGCCAACGCGACGCACGTCGAATTGGCCGCGGGGCGGGCGGCGCCGCGCGGCGCCGCCGCGCTCGTCTACCCGGCGCCGCCGTCGCTCGGCGTGTTTCGCGCGCGGCGGGACGGACGCTGGGCCGCGGCGCCTTTTTTCGACGCCGAGGCTTCGGCGGGCGAGCCGCTCCGCGCGGGGGACGTCGTCGCGCCCGCCTACGTCGCCGTCGACGACGCCGGCGGCGTCGACTGGATCGCCGTCTCCGACGCGGACTGGACCGACGCCGCTCCGCGACCCGGGCCGCCTCTCGTGGCTGCCGCTGGAGGGCGCCGAGGGGCCGCTGCTGGACCAGGTCGACGAGGTCGCTGCTGACGCTGCGCCGGCGGAACCCGAAGCCGAGGCCGCGCCGGCTGACAAGGCCGAGGCCGCGCCGGCGAAGGCCAAGGTCGAGGCCAAGGCCGAAGCCGCGCCGGCCCCGGCCGGCTTCGGCGGCGGCGGCGCGCGAAAGAAGCGGAGGAAGCGGCGGTAACAGAGAGGTGGTTTTAGCGAGCTCTAAGCGGCGGCCTGACCTGAGTAGACAATGCCCCAGGGCTCCCGTGTGAGAGAAGCGGTGGCGATGTCGAAAGAATGGAGGTGGAATCTTAGTGGACCGCGCGCGGCCGCGCGGTACGCGAGCTCGGCTTCATGAGCTGGTGTCCTCCGCGGCGCATCTTGACGCGCTCAGAAGAGCTCCTCCTCGGCGTGCGTGATGATCGTGCAGTCCGACGCCGGGTAGGCGACGCACGTGAGCACGAAGCCGTCGCCCATCTGGTCGTCGTCGAGGAACGACTGGTCCGACTGGTCGATCTCGCCGGCCGTGACCTTGCCGCAGCACGACGAGCAGGCGCCCGCGCGGCACGAGTAGGGGAGGTCGAGGCCCTCCTCCTCGGCCTGGTCGAGGATGTAGACGTCGTCGGGGCACTCGATGACCGTCTCCTCGCCCTCCTCGACGAGGGTGACGGAGTACTGCATGCGGGTGGCCGACGGCGCGACGACGCCGGAGCGCATGAACGCGGCGGCGGGGGCGAGGAGGAGGGCGAGGGCGAGCTTCATGTTTTGTACCTACGTTTAGGGGTGATCCAGCCTCGGTCGCTTCTGAGCGCGCGCGCGCCCCCCCCGGAGCTCTTTTCGACCGCGTATTTTTGCTGTGATCCCTAGAACAACACCTTACGGTGCTGCTCCACTAGGAGAGGGGCCGATGCGCGCGCGATAACGGCGTCCCCGGGGCCCCTGTTTTGGATTGAGGACATCGCGTACCTTGGCTTGAGCGGAGCTGTGGAGTCAGCCCCCCTTCAAGTAGATACGGCTAAAGGTGCAGTCACGGTTGGGCGCGTTCTTGCGACGACGGGCGGCTCGGGCGAGCGGCTCCGAATCGACCAGGTCGTCAACGGCGTCCTACGCGTCGACGTCGCCGCGCACGACGTCGTCGGCGAGCCCCTTGTAGGCGCGGGAGAAGATGCCGACGCGGCCCGCGTCGCGCGCCGCGTCGAACGCGCGCTGGCGCCGCAGCGCGCGCGAATGACCGTGACGGACGCGGTGAATCGCCGGCTGGAGCAGGCTGCCCAGCTTGGGCAGGCCGCAGCCGCACGTCGGGCCGCAGGGGTTCGGCGTGTGGAAGCCGAAGTCGGGCTGCGCGCCGCCCGGGGACGGCGGCAGCAGGCGCGGTCGGCGCGGCGCCGGCTGCGGATGGAGGAGGACCTGTACAAGGCGGCGATGACGCGCGAGGCGCGGCTCAAATTGGATCCCGCGTCGCAGGAGCCCACCGGCTCCCGCACGGAGCTCGCGAGCAAGCGCTGGAACGCGCCCACCAAGCGGCGCTCCAAGAAGCGCCGCGTCCGGTGCCGCGGGCCGAAGCATGAACGCGCGGACTCTTGGGCGTCTGCTGGCTGGGGAAATCATCCTCGCTGCGATCGTAATTACCGGCACTAAACCAACTTCAATCAGCACATCAGCTTAGCGCACTTGAAGCTCCCCAAGTGGCAATAACACTGCCCGACGCCACCAACCGCGCCGTCCAAACACGCCGCACAGCATGGCCGACCTCCTGAAAGCGGCGACCGGTGCGAACCCCGTGAGCCGCATCGCTGAAGGCACGGGCAAGGGCGGCCTGCCCGTGCTCATCCTCACGCACGGCAGCGGCGCCGTCTGCGAGGTCTACCCGCACGGCGCCACCGTGACGAAATACACGAGCCCGACGGGCGCCGAGGTGCTGTGGACGTCGGAGTCCGCCGTCTTCGACGGGGCCAAGGCCATCCGCGGCGGCATCCCCGTCGTCTTCCCCCAGTTCGGCCCGGCCGCGGACGCGAGGGTCGGCGGGCCGGGGACGATGGCGCAGCACGGCTTCGCGCGCACGGCGGCCTGGACCGTCGACGCCGCGGGCACGAAGATCCTCGACAGCGGCGACCCCCAGGCCGTGCTGACGCTCGCCGACAGCGCCGCGACGCGCGCGCTCTGGCCCCACGCGTTCGCGTGCTCCTACACGGTCGTGCTCCAGGTCCGCGGCCGGCGTCCCGGAACGGCGTGTTGGGGTCGAACCGTGAGATGCGTCACGTCCGGAACGGTTCGAGAGGTGTCGCGTCCGGCACGGCTCGAGAGGTGTCGAGCCCGGAACGGGGCTCGAGAGGTGTCGCGTCCGGAACGGCTCTCTCTCACCGACTCGTCGTCCCTAGGCCGCCGCGCTCCACTGCGAGCTGAAGATCACGAACCGCGACGGGCCCGAGGCGCCGCCGTTCTCGCCCCAGTGCCTGCTGCACACGTACCTCGCCGTCGACGACGTCCAGCGCGCCATGGTCCACGGCCTCGACGGGGCCAAATACGTCGACAAGCTCGCGGCCGAGCCCGAGCCCCGCGACGAGTCGAACCCGGCGATCCGCTTCCGCGGCGAGACGGACCGCGTCTACCTCGGGTCGTCGCGCGAGTCCCAGCCGCTCACGCTGCGGCCGTCGGGGTCGCGGCTCGACTGCCACGCGGTCCTGCTCGACGCCGCGGACACGATCACGGCCGAGTTCGACGCGGACGTCGTCGTCTGGAACCCGCACGTGGACAAGGCCGCGCGCATGGGCGACTTCGACGACGACGGCTGGACGAAGATGTGCTGCCTCGAGCCCGGCGTCGTCGCCGCGGACCGGCCGTCCGTGGACACGAACGGGAGCCTCGTCCTCTCCCAGACCATCTCGCCGGAGCTCTAGGGCGCGCCTTAAAGCTCGGCCGTGAGCCGCTCGTCCGGCGGCGCGACGCGGCTCCCACCGCGCTCCGCGAGCTTCGTGCGGTGGAGCTGGTCCGGGTTGTCCCCGGGCGCGTCGGAGATGCGCCACGCCTTCTTCTTCTTGACGACGGGGGACCCGTGCTTCTTGTAGTCGTCGTCGCGCGCGTCGAAGATGTAGTCCGCGATGATCTGGAGCACGGGCACCTCGTCGTCGTCGTAGCCCTCGAGGTCCTTGAGCGGCGCGAGCCACTCGTCGAAGACCTGCGCCGGAAACGACCGTTGACCAAACTTCAAACCTCTCGAGGTCGGTCGCTGATTCTTGGACGAATCGATGTGCTCTCGTCGAGTTCTCGGCGTGGAGGCAACACAATCATTGAAGTCGGGTTGAAGATTCGATGTCCGCTCGTCGAAGACCGCGCGGTCGCTGAGGCCCTTCTTCGGGTCGCGCTCGCAGAGCGGCCACGTCGTGACCTCGGTCTCGCCGACCATGAACTGGAGCGAGTCGCGGCCCGGGATCGCGCGCCGCGCGGACCTAGGCGCCGGCGACTCCGCGCCGCGTCCCCGCGCGACGGCTCACGACGCGCGCCGCGGCCGCGGGACGCCGGCGCGCGCCGGCAGATCCAGTAGTAGCCCTCGGAGTCGTGCGCGTCCATGAGGGCCATGCCGTGCTCCCACTGCTTCTCGTAGTCGCCGTCGAAGGCGCTCTTCCGCAGCGCGACGCGCGACGCCTCCTCGGCGCACGCGCCGGGGCAGAAGCCGTCCATGAACGTCGCGTTGCGCGCGCAGTTGCCCTCGAGCTCGGACCAGTGGCGGCAGCAGGCGTTGCGGCACTTGTTGTCCTCGAGCATGAAGGCCTCGTTGTGCTCGCAGGACCCGAGGTGCGCCCAGAGCAGGCACGAGTCGCTCTTGTCCTTTTCCGGCTCCGGCGCCTCCTGCGACCCGAAGAGGAGCCCGCCCAGCGCCAGCGCGACGACGACCGCGGCGCCGCACTTGCGGCCGAAGCTGACGCCCGCCGGCGGCGGCGCGGCGGCCGTCGACATGGTCGCGGCGCTGCGGGGCTGCAGCGCGCGCGCGGTGAAAAAACGACGGCTTGACGTTGTCAAGGTGCGGTGCAAGCGACGAGTTACGAACCAAGATCAGGGCGCGTCGATGGACTCGAGGAGGTCGGCCTCCTCGTCGAGGACGCGGGACCCCTCGACGGACGCGATGTGGGCCGAGAACTCGAGGCGCTCGTTGATGGACTGCGCCGCGGGCCCGTCGGAGTTGGCGAAGGACGACGACTCGTGGGTCTCGCGCTTCGTCTCCATGCGCAGGCTGCCCTGCATGGACAGGTCGCCGGAGCCCTCGACGCTGTCGAGCAGCGCGTCGACGTCCGCGTCCGTCGGGTGGAACGGCTTCCCGCCGTCGTCGTCGTCGTCGTCGTCGAGCCCGAGGTCCTCGTCGCAGTCCAGGTCGCTGACGACGTCGACGTCCTCCTCGACGTCGTCGAAGGCCTCGACGGCGTCCTCCTCCGGCGCCGGCGGCGCCGGCGGCGCGACGGCGGCCGGCGCGGCGGCCGCGCCGCCGCGCGGCGGCGCCGGCGGCGGCGGGCTCGGCGGCGGGCTCGG